GGACCCTTGACGACGAACTCTTCGAAAACCCGTGGAGTAACTATTGTAGTCCTGCCTTGTGCCTTGCTAATATTGAGTAACTACCGACCCCGACCCTGACCCCGAAGACGAACCATCCTTGGAAGTAAAGTTAGAGGAAAGTGTAACAAATGCCCCCCTAAACTTGAAAGAAAAGGACCGTGCCCATGGGATGCTGCTCGCAAAAAGGGAATTTTCGCAAATAGAACGAACGACCTAGGACAAACGGATGTCGTGATGCATGAAAACGGAACCCGAGAGCGAGCCCTGGAGAGGATTAATGACCTTAAAATAGCTATCCGTGACATGTTGATCCCCACCACATTCCAAATAATAGAATCCACTGACGACTTGCTGTTGTTGGGAATGGATTGGTTCGTGAAAGCATGAGCCCGGCTGCATTTTGCGGAGAAAAGGTTGTACCTTACGTACAACGGTAAGACAAGCAAAATCCCGATTTCCACGGATGAAGGACCCCGAAAGAACCTGCCGCTGAAACCTCTATAAGTGAGGATCTGTTTGATGAATTTGTATATGACGATGAGGCCTTGGAAGAGGCCGAAGGGTATTTCACTGAAGGGACCCTTGACGACGAACTCTTCGAAAACCCGTGGAGTAACTATTGTAGTCCTGCCTTGTGCCTTGCTAATATTGAGGAACTACCGACTCCAACCCTGACCCCGAAGACGAACCATCCTTGGAAGTAAAGTTAGAGAAAAGTGTAACGAACGCCTCCCTAAACTTGGAAGAAAAGGACCATGCCCATGGGATGCTGCTCGTGGAAAAGGGAATTTTCGCAAATAGAACGAACGATCTAGGACAAACGGATGCTGTGACGCATGAAATAGACACCGGCAATGCGGCCCCGATTAAACAGACACCGTATCGTGCTGCCCCAGCGTATGTGCCTTTATAAAAAAGAAGGTTGCACAGTTAAAAGTAAAAGGATTGGCTCAAGAATCGAAGAGCCCGTGGGCTTCCCTGGTTGTGGTCGTCCCAAAAAAGGTGGGAAATTATGAATGTGCGTCGACTATCGGAAGTTGAACGCGGTAACCACCAAGGATGTGTTCTCCCTCCCGCGAATAAACGACCTACTCGAAGTATTTGGTCGTGCCGCTTGGTTTACCTCCTTGGACTTGTTGTCAGGTTATTGGCAGGTAACCATTAGTGAAAAGGACAGAGAAAAAACTGCGTTTGGGTCCTGTTTAGCACTTACGAGTTCGTTGTCATACCGTTTGGTCTCTGTAACGCTCCCGCCACCTTCCAACGTATGATGAATTACATCCTTGCCAACTTTATCGAACGATTCGTTGTAGTCTATCTTGACGATATCGTAATATATTCTGCTTCTTTTGACGAACACTTAAGCCACATCACCGCCGTTTTTGAAAAATTAAAGGCCGTGGGCCTGAAGTTGAATTTGGATAAGTGTGCCTTTTTTAAGCCCCACCTGCAGTTTTTGGGCCACGTCATTGGTCGTGATGGAGTCCGTCCTGACGACGGAAAGGTAGAAAAGGTCCAGAAGTTCCCCACCTCTGTGAACTTGCGGCAACTACATGGTTTTTTAGGACTTGCGTCCTATTATCAGAAGTTTATTGCAAACTTCGCCTCGATCGCCCGCCCCTGCATTATCTGTTGAGGAAGGATGTTAAGTACGAGTGGACCCACGAGCAAGAGGATGCCTTCAATAAATGAAAGCAACAACTAACGAAGGCACCGGTGCTTCGTTACCCGAATTTCGACAAGACGTTCATCGTCCACGCCAATGCATCTGGAACAGGCCTGGGTGCCGTATTGGCCCAGAAGGACGATTTGGGAAAAGAGTACGTTGTGGCGTACGCAAGTCGAGCACTAACCAAACCCGAAGTTAACTATAGTACCACCGAACTTGAGTGCCTGGCAGTTCTGTGGGCGATTGAGTATTTTCGTCACTATTTTGGCTTGGAATCTTTCGTTGTCGTTACGGATCATGCCGCGTTAAAATGGTTGCAAACTGCAACCTTAACTGGTCGTAGGGCCCATTGGATACTTCATCTGCAGCCATACAATTTTAAAATTGTACATCGTCGTGAAAAGAACCATAACAACGCCGATGCGTTGTCGAGGCTCCCCAAACTTGTTAAAGTAGAAGCCCCGAAAAGAATATTGGGTCTCAACCGATGGTCGTAGATTAGATTAAAAAAAAAAAAAAAAAAAAAAAAATCCGGAATTTAAATCCAGTCCAGGTTACCGGTGTTCTGGCATACTCAAAACGGTTTTAAGTATTTTCCTTAAAAATTCCCCTTAGATTTCTCTAACTATTAATTTTTTTTTTGTGTTGTTCCCGTAATCATTAAATAAATTTTAATAAATCCCCTTTAAAAAAAAAAAAATAAAAAAAAAAAAACTTTACTAACATTTTGATGGAACCTGACCACTATCGGCACCTGGTTCAATACCTCGATAAGAAGACTCTGCCACCGACTTTTGATGAAAAGCAGCAGCAAAAGCTAATAAAGAAGTCTGAATTTTTCGAAATAAGAGAGGGTCTTTTATACAAGAAAGATAGACGGAAAAAGGGAAACTTGCTCCGCGTGCTGCGAAAGTACGAAGTGGACCCGATACTCTTCTTAGTGCATACCCACCCGTTGGGGGACACTTCAACCGCTCCACCATGTTTGAAAAGGTACGAGATATCTATTTTTGGCCCCGGATGTACCAGGATATACGACGGTATTTCCAAATGTGTGATCAATGTCAACGACGAACCCGACCCCATACGCAAGCACCGTTGACCCCCATTCCTGTTTCGGCCCCATTCTACAAGATTGGGTTGGACTTTGTTGGCCCTCTCCCCCG